GCCCCCCACTTGGGGTCGCGGGCAGGGCTGCGGGTCCGACTGGCCCGCCCCGGGACTGCCGCGCCGTGGGGGAGGGCCCGGCTGCGCCCCGAAACTGCCTGGCCCAGAGCTGGGCCGCGCCCCAAGCCGGGGTGTGTCCCCGCGGCCCGGCCTCACTGGGGGCTTCGCCCCCGGCCCCGCGCGCCCCCTCCGAGCTTCCCCCCCAGGCTCCGCTGAGAGCGTGGACTGTGAAGGCCGACGCCGGGCTGGGGGAGGGGCAGGCGGGCGGGGGGGCGTCCCTGTCGGTCGCTCTTGCGGTGCTCTGGGCCCCGCGGCCCGGAGGAGCCCCGAGGTGTCGTGACCTCGTTTCGGTGACGGGAGCTAGGAGCCGCGTGTCCCCCAGCGTTGCCGGCCACCGCGCAGGCCCCTCCGCCGGAGGATGGGGCTCCCTGCCTGGGGTCTCTGGAGGTGCAGAGACAGAGGCTTCATTCCAGCCGTAGCCAAAGCTTCCCGCCCTTCAAACCGCAGGCCCGATTGTCCCCTTAAGCGAGCTACACTCGGGGTTTGGGGCCATTCCCCCATCCACTGGGGAGGGGCTTTGTTTTGTTTTAAATTCCTGTGAGCATTATAAGGAAACTGAGGCAGATTAGGGAAGTTTTGACCTTCCGAACGGTCAACTCTCAGCGGGCATCATCTTCTCTGCTTTATGACACTAGAGAGAACCAGGGTGGGAGTGGGTTTGCTGGTCCCCGGGAACAGGAAGCCCCGCTGCTCTCCCGACCCCAGGTCGCCTCCAGGCCGGCCCCGCCCCAACTGCCCTGGAATTGTAGGTTCTCCTGGATACCGGACGCGCCCTTTTCTCCAGCAGCCTGAGTTGGAAGACCTGTCATTGCCAGCAGGGTCTTGGCCGCACCTGCTGGCGCCAATGTTTTCTGCCCAGAGGGGAATCAAAGGCTGGGCTTTCTTTGGGCTGATTTGTAAGCTTTCGGAATTGCTCAGTATAGAATTAAAGGTCAGAGGAGGCGTGGGGAAGAGCACAGGCCAAGAGTGGGGGCAGCGGAGCCAGGCAGAGTGAGGAAAGGGACGCAAGGTTTCCCCCCCCCCCCCCCCCCCCGGGCGCTCAGCTTGACCCGGGCAGGTGTCTGACGGTGGGGGGCGGGCGGGGCCAGGCGCCCCAAGAGCCCCGCGAGCTGAACTGGTGGCCACATCTGTGGCTAAGGACGCTAGGCCCAGAGGGTAAGGCAGCTGTCCAGCTCACCTGAGGACTGCGGTTCCCGAACGCCAAGGCCTTGTCTATGGCCACAGGCCTAGCTGGGTCTCCGACTCCCGGGCGTTTTGGGGGCGCAGGGCAAGACTGCTGTCCATCAGGTGTGTGCCCCACCCACGAGAGAACCCCGGGGCTTGGCCTCCGTAAAACCTATCCTTATTCGCGCCCTTGGGCACAATCACGGCCTGCTCAACCCTCAGGTGGGGGTGTCAGAGATGCGAGGAGGACTTCCACTTGGGGGTCCCAAGGTGTCACGCACAGGCCACGGGGAAGGTGGGAAGGGCGGGAGGTCTCCACGTCCTGGGTCCGCCCACTCCGCGAAGGCGTCCAGGCCTCTGACTCGGGCTGGGGGGGGGGGGGGGCACCTGCCCCTCCTCCAACGCCAGTTCCCTCTAGAGCTCCTTTGTCTGGTGTGTTTAAGGGGCGGCCACTTCTGGGAACAGACGGGGAAGGAGCGGAGATCCACAGACCTCGGTCCCCGCCCCCCTTCCTCGTTCCGCACCTTGCAGTCCGCGGGACGCCGGGTGCCCGGCCCCGGGGTCGTGGAGGTTAGCGGGGCGGGGCCCAGGAGCCCCGACGTCCCCCCCCCTCCCCCGCGGCGCCGGGCGGCGGGGGGAGGGGCGGGGCGCCACTTCCTCTTCCGCGGCGGGTCACCGGGTGGGCCGGGGGGGGGGGGGGGGGGGGGGGAAGGGGGACAAGGTGCGGCCGCAGGTGAGCGGCGGGGGGCGGCGGCGCGCGCGGCGCGGTGCGGCCATATTAGGCGATCTCGGCGCCGCGGGAGCCCCGCCCGCCGCCCGGGAAGCCGCGGCCCGGGCAGCCCCGTCCCCGCCCGCCGCCGGCCCTGAGTCACCGGCCGGGCGGGGGTGGAAGTAACGGACGGGGGGCGCCGGGCGCGCTCCTCGCCTTATTTAGTCAAGGAGGCCGCCGATTGGCCGGCGGAACAAAGGGGCGGTGGCGGGCGGCCGGGGCGGGAGCGGAGGGGGCAGCGGCTGGCCCCCGCCCCCACCCCCGGCCGCCCGCGACCCCACAGCTCCGCTGCCGGCGCGGCCCCGAGGATGGGGGTGGGGCTACCCGTGCCCGCGCCCCCCCCCCCCAGGTCCGGCGGCTGCAGGGGGTGCGGGGGATGCGGGGCTGGGTCGCCTCCCGGCGGGGGAGGAGGGGAGTGACGGCCCTTCTGGGAAGCACCGCCGGGAGCCGGGAGTACGTGGACGCGGAGGAGCCCTGCCCCAGGTAGAACTGGGCCCGCCGACCCCGGCGGGGGGGACGGGGGAGCGCCGCCTTCTGTGCCGTGATTTTTTTGTTTTGCAACCGGGCAGTACGAGGCCTCGCCCAAGGTCACCTCAGGGCTGTGCACTTGGAAGCTGGGGGCCGCCCCCACCCCGCCTGGAGCGGGAGAGGGCCCGGCGTCCCTGGGGAGGGGACCGCGCGGACGCGGCAGCCCCTCGAGCGGGGAAGCTCTGGGGAGGAGGGAGAGGGCCAGCAGTTGCGCCCTTGCCCAGAAGCGGGTGTGTCCTTTCCATCTTGAGGACCGAAACTTGGGCCTCAGAGAAATGATGTGATTTTTTTTTTTTCCCTAGTTCAGTGCTGGCTTTGGGCGATTTATTGTGACTTTGCTGCATTTCATTTTATCTTCCATGCGTTTAATGGCTGAGGAAATAGCGGGACGGGGAGGTGGGGTCACCTTGCAGGTAACTGTGGTGGGGCTGAGACTTAGCTCGAGGCCTTGCCTCCGGGTCCTGGGCACTGCCTGGCAACCCCACGTCGCTGTCATCTCCCTGCTCTCTTCAGGGATGGTCCCCAGGACTTATGCACTTGGTAGCGTGGCCACCAGCCCACCTGCACCCCCTACTCACCCTGCTAGCCTCCTACCTCTAGCCACCTCCCAACTAGTCATTACTTGTCAGGCACACAGGGCAGGTGACTTGGTGATGGGTCGGCGCCCCCAGCCTTTGGCCTGGCCATTCCCACCTGCGAGGAATGCCTTGCCTTCTCCATGCAAATGCGACGTGGGATCCTGGTTTGGATCCTGGGACACAAAAAAAGAAGGCAGCGGAAGAGGCAGTGAAATCTGAGTAAAGTCTGGAGTTTAACACCAAGTGCCAAAGTTCCTCGCGGTGACAGCTGAACCACGCCTGTGTAAGTTGTTACCTTAAGAGAAACTGAGTGGGGAGGCTACAGCAAAGCTCACGCGATCTTTGCTACTTTTCTGTAAATCTAACATTATAATAAAAACTTCATTTTAGAACATCTATGGAAAAGCAAAGTTTCCCTACCCGTAGGTCCCTGTCTGGTTCTCCCAGGCCTGTGGACAGATCAAAGGCAGGATGATTCTTCTTCTGCTTGTGTCTGCAGGGCGCTGGGCAGTCTCCCGTGGAGAGGGGGGCAGGCTTGGGCGGCTATGTCTGTCTGTCTGTCTGTCGGGAACAGTGGTCTTGAGGGCTGCCGAGGTAGACAAGGCCAAGTTCCTGCTGGCGTGGCCTGCTTGCGTCTGAGTTTCAACTCCAAGGGCAAGGTCAGGGCCACATACTTCTGGCCTCGTGCCCAGTGGGGGCCGTTCTGAGGGCACCGTGTCTGCTGCGGCACACCTGGAAGCTGGGGCTCCAGATCCTCTCCCTGCAGAGCCTTCTGGTGGCTGGCCATTTGGTCATGTGCACTGCTGTGCGGGAGCCAGGCGCCGCCAGCTTATCACCGCCGCTCGTCCTGCAGCCGGAAGCTGTGAACCAGGCCTCTGCATGTGCCTGGGGAGGTGCCCTGAAACCATACCGTTTTGCAGGTGGGGAAAACAGGATTGCAGGGTACGCTCCCCACACGCAGTGTGGAGAGACAGGTGTACAGAGACAGCCAGGCCAAGAGTCCCTGGGCCCCTCCCTCCTTAACCTTACCCACTGCTCCAGCAGAGGAGGGTTCCAGGCATTTCAAAGATGGGTGGGCCCCCGTGGAGTTTATCAGAGCTTCTGTCTCCCCATCCTGATGCAGCAGGAGCCAAGGAGGCCCCGGGAAGAGCACTGGGCGAGGAGTCAGGACCTGGGTTCTGGGCCAGGCTCAGCCTGTGCCAGCTGTGACCTCCCACTGCCCCCTTCTGTAAAGAAGTGGGCTAGTCGTGCAGCCCATCAGAGGCTCTGAGGCTGGCGGCCCTCTTGCGCTAGACGACAGGTCTAGGGACTGGAGGCCACTGGGAGGTGAATCTTCCCTCCGCCCCAGGCCTCACTGCAGTTTTCTCAGCCTCGGGCTTTGATGTCTCGGTGTTCGAGTTTTGGTTAAGAAACACTCAGGCGGCGCCTCTGTGTATCAGACCCAAGATTCCTGGGAGCAGCGGCCTTTGATGGAGCAGCTGGCTCCTGGCTCTGCTTCTGAGGGCACTCTTCCAGGTCTCACTTCCTGGGCCTCAGCAGGTAGAGTGACAGCGCTCCCTATACCACAGGGTGGGGGTGCGGGGCCCGATACCGTGGCCCAGCAGTGGTCCGTCTGCTGCCCGTCACCTTTGCCAAGAAAAATTATGTCGTGGACTCACTGTGAGCCCGCCTCACAGCTGCCTCCCCAAGAGATCACCGCTCGGTCTCTGCACGGCCCTTACTCTCCGGGAGCTGCACCCACAGATTGCGGCGGGACCCCGAGGATTCAACCCAGGAGTCCGGGCCTCCGGCTGCTTCGCAACAGCCCCGCCTCCGCTCGCAGCTCAAGCCAGACACCAGGTGCCCGCCAGCGACGGCACATCCGTACGCCCCTGACCTGCCGTGCTGTCTGTCCAGCCGGGCTGCCCGCCTCCTGCTTCCACGGGATCCATGTTGCAAATCAGCTCGCTCTGCTCCCCGGGCCTGCCACTGCCTCGAGACAGAGCCTGAGCCCTTACCCTTGTTTTGGAAGCTCTCTGGTGGCCCTGCCTGACCCCCCCCCCCCAACCCCTCACCTACTGCCTCTCTTGTTCACTGCCCTCCAACCTCAGTTGCTGGCTGGCTCTTCCTCTACAAGTTCTTCTGGTTGGCCGCCACTGCCCTGCAGGCCCCCAGACCTTGCCCTGGCCTCAGGTCCAGTCCCCCACCTCCTCCCTGAATACTGGTTATTCATTGTTTGTCTGCCCCCACCCTCTGCCCCAGAGTTTCCCCGGGGAACAATGGTGAAACTGGTGTCCCCTGCGACCGGAATAACGCCTGGCACCTTTGTGGCTGCAGGACGCCTGAACGGAGTCAGAAAGAATGAAGACGGAGCAGCCCCGGAGGGACCGTCACAGGGGGGCTGGGCGAGCTGTCTGTCCCCTACCCTGACTCCTGGATATGGCTCTAGGGCTGAGAGGGAAGGGTCGGCCTACCCCGGCTGGTAGGCTCGCAGGGCTGCAGGGGGCAGTGCTGAGGTGGTGGGGTAGGGCACCGAGAAAAGTGCGGGCTCACCCGCACCTCCCGCTCTGGCCCCGGCCTGTGGGGAACGCGCCCGGCCGGCCGAGCTCTCCCGACTGGGCCAGGGCCCCGCGCGGCAGGTGTCCCTAACGGCGGAGGCGGAGGGCATGGAGGCGATCAGGGCGGGACACCGGCAGGAGGCGGCTGCCCTGGGCGCCCCGTCCTCCCCGCCACTGTCGCGAGGGCTGCAGGGGGCGTGGACAGAGTGGGCCAGGCTAGGGTCGAGCCAGGGCTCCGGACCGGTCACCCGACCGCTTGTTGCGCCCTCGCTCCTCCGCCCAGACTTCCCGGGAAGGCTGCGCGGCGCGCGGGGGCCTGGCCGGCGAGGCGCGGGCGTGGCCCCGCCAGGCCCCGCCCACCCTCCTGGGGCTGGGTATCGGGCGGGGCGGGATGGGGGGCGAGGGCCCAACGCTTAGGGGGAGCCGAGGAACCCCCCCCCCCCGGTGGGTGGCGCCGCGTGTCGTTATGGACAGGGTGCGGTGCCCGGCCACGAGACCACAAATTCTCGCGCGCCCCTCCCCGCGCCTGGGCCCGGCCTCGCCTCCGGGAGCCGAGTCCCCGCGCCCTTGGGGGACCGCGCAAGTGACCCCGCACGGAAATCCAGAGGGCGGCCGAGGACCGCGGAAGAGGCTAGCCCAGAGGCCGCGCAAGCTGGGGCTGGAGCCCGGGGGCGCCCTGACCTGTCCAGACTCGCACCGTCTCCGGGGATGCGCGCAGGGGCCGCCCGCAGCCCTTCTGCGCTCCCGCTGTTAGCGGCCCTCAGACCTGGCGTCGGAGCCGTCCGCCGCACCCCCGCGTCTCCTCTGCCTCGGCGGGCTGCGGGCAGGCGCGGCACCCTGATTCCTAGGCCCGCATCAGCGCGCACCTCTCCGGGTGGGCCACGGGCTGGGAATCGGGACACCCCCGAGGGGCAGCGAACTTGAAGGCCTGGGCCAGGAGACGGCGCCCAGCTCCGAGGCGGGCCCGGTGTGATTCCCAGGTGGGCCGCCAGGTGGGTCCCGCTAGCGGGGTTGGGCGCCTGGGGCTTAGCGAGAAATCCAGGCTGCACCGGTCTGCGCCGCCCTCTCCCCGCTACGCGGTGGGCCGAGCCCTCCCCAGCGCAGGGAGGGACCCCTACGGCCACTGACGGGGTTGGGGAGGCGCCCGGCACTGCGGGCCAGCCGCTGAGTCACTGCCGCCAGAGAGTGAGGGGAGTGGCCGGTGACCTCAACCAGTGCGGACGCAGGGAGAGAAGGTGGGATTGGGGTCAGCCGGTACCCAAGGCAACGGAAGGGGGAGGGCCGGGGCCTCGACTCAGCCAGACGGGGCCAGCCCACCATGATGCCCAGGTACCTTCTGTCCAGGAACAGACAGCGGCCACAGGGGGACACCAAAGCCAGGGCAGACCTGGACCTGATTCTTGGAATACACAGTGCTGGTGCCCAGGGGATGGGGACGCAGGGGTCCAAGCAGCCATGCCCCGTCTGCTTCCTGGGCACACTGGGTTATTTTGACAGCTAGGCCACCCAGGCAGATGGCCAATGATAAGCAATTCAGAGAGAATGACATGGGGGCTCAGAGGCTGAGGCAAGTCCCAGGTCCCACGGCCGGAAAGGTGGGGCCCGGAGACAGCCAACTCTTTACTCACCCTGCTAGCTATGGGAGGCCCGCCCGTGTTGGAGGACAGAGGGGGTGAGTCCATTCCACTTGTCCAGGGGCCCTCCCAGGGCTGTGAGCGGCTGGGCTAGCCCCAGGAAGATGGCAGCAGGTGCTGGAGTGCCCCACTAGGGCAGTGGGGAGCCACAGAATGCCCTGGGCTGGGGTAGCGCCCTGAAGGTGGAGTGGGGGGGTGGGGGGTGCAGAGACAGCATACTGCGAGGAAAGACAGATGATGCTCTTGGGCATTCGGGACACCTCCACCTCCCTCGGTGACGGGTGGGTTGGCCCCACCGTACCACCGGGGACTGCGGGAGCCCACCCCCAGGAGGGGCCCCTACCCATAAGCACCCGGAGCGAACCTGCAGCTTAGCTGTGCTGAGCACCTTCCCAGACCCCTCTCTCCAGGCCCAGCTTTACGCCAGGGCAGACGGAGTTTGGTGGGCCCCCTGGCAGGGCGGGGCACCCGCACAGGCCTGTATTTTACCCTACCTGGGAAGGGTAGTTTGGGGAGTGAGGAAAATTCATGTTGAAAATGTTCCCTTTAGGGCACCTGGGTGGCTCAGCCGGTTGAGCATCTGACTTCGGCTCAGGTCATGATCTCGCACTCAGTTTGTGAGTTCGAGCCCCGCGTCGGGCTCTGTGCTGCCGGCTCGGAGCCTGGAGCCCGCTTCGGATTCTGTGTCTCCCTCTCTCTCTGTCCCTCCCCTGCTCACATTCTCTCTCTCTCTCAAAATTAACTAAACATAACCATAATAATAAAGAAAATGTTCCCCTTGGATTTTGAAATCTTGACTCTGTGTCTTGTTTATGCTGTTGTTTTTGGGGAATGAGTGTCATTTGAATCCTGATCCAATGTTCAGGATTGTTTTGTGTTTTCTCTATGAAGCTTTAGGCTTCTCTGTTTCTGCTGATCTGAGATCTCTGGGTGTGCTTCTGGTGAAGTCTCTTTGTCTGGACCACTTCTAGGCCCTGGCCACTCAGTACTCTCCGGTTCTGGTGAAACGTCGAAATGTCTTGTGTCCCTTCTATCACAGTTTGTTTCTTTCCTGCTTTATTTTTTTCAGCGTTTCTGTTTTGGGATTTCTGTTATTGGGCGTCTTATCTCTCAGATGAGTCCTTTAACATTATTCCTGTTTCTGCTTCCCACCCCACCCCCCCAGCTCTCTGGGACATTTCTTTGCCTTCTTCTGCCCCCGTGATGGAATTCTTTATTCTAGTTATTATACTTTGTAACCTTTTTGTTGTGAGATAATTTCACACTTACTGTTTTCACATTTCCCACACTTGCCTCATTGTTCTTTCTCTCTTCTCATTGCTCAACAGCTTGGGAGTTGGCCTCAGACATCCCGCCCTTTTCTCCTTCATATTTCAGTGTGTTTTTCCTGAGAACAGGGACATTGTCTCACGTAGCTACAGTGCAGTGATCAAAGCCAGGCGATTTAACGTGAATAGGACACGTTCATCTAAGCCACAGCGGATGTTTTAATGATGGCTGTCCCAACAGTGACTTAACCCCGGATCACCTATGTCATTGAGTTGCCATAAAGTCAGATAGTATATCCCCACGACCCCTGTCTTACTCTCTCGCCACTTAGAGCATCACCCAAAGGTGCGGAGAGTTTTACAAAAAGTGGACCAGCACTAAGGCCCGAGCTGATGCCCCTGGGAGCCATCTGACACAGGACGGTGGGCACGTGCATGGCTTTTCTCACGGTGAGACGAGGAAATGGTCCATTGCTGTTTGGTCCCAGAAGTCCTTTTGGCTCTCTGGCGAGACTTCAGGCACACAGTAGGTACTTACTGTGTGTCTGTGCTTGTCGGCGTGCGGGGTGTGGGCTGAGCCTCTGCGGACGGATGGCAGCTATGTGCGTGTGTGTCTGTGGCTCGCTGTGTGTGCGTGGCCGCGTGTGAGAGTGCCGGGCTGCCCTGGTCACCTTCAGAGTCGCGGGCTCCTGACTGTCCCTGCCAGGTGTGTGTCTGGAAGCCCAGGTGGACGGTAATTACCCCCGTCGCTTCTTGGACTTGATCTGGTCCTGATTCTGAGCCCCGTGCAGCCAGGGATTTACTCTCAGATATTCTTGTGAGTGCTCCCTTCCAGTTCCAGAAATATGCAAAGGCCCTGGGGTTTGGGTGCTGGAAGACAGCAGTGGTCACAGGGCATCTGGACTTGCTGAGAGGCCCGCAGTCCTGCCCTCATGGTCCCTTCAGGGACGCTCAGCCTTGCGGGGGCCCTGGACTTCTGGCCGGGCTCAGAGGTCTCTCTCTCTCTCTCTCTCTCTCTCTCTCTCTCTCTCTCCCTACACCCCTCCAGAAATAACCGCCCCCTCCCCAGGACTTGTACGATTTTACGAGAGACAAGAGACAAGAGCCGAGCCGGGAGACCACACCGGCTTCCTACCCAGATAGCGGCTCTCCACTTCGGGGAGTCGGGGTGGGGGGCGCACGCCAGAGAGGAGCCCATGAAAACCAGTATTTCAGTAGCTGCCCTGCCTTCAGGAGGAGCGGGGTTGGGGTAGGGCTGAGGGGGAGGGGCGAGGCCGGGGGCTGGACTTTCATGGGGAGCAGGCAGCACACAGGCGGGCACCCCCTGGCCCCCTCCCCACACTCTTCATCCCAAGGACTGCCCTGTCCTTTCTGCCCTGCAGAAGGGAGCCTGTCACCCTAAACCGCCTGCAGGCCTCCCGTAAACCAACCCAGGCCCCACCCGTGTAAATGGAGCTCCAGAGCCGCAGAACTCCACCATGAAAGAATCATGAGGCAACCGAGCCTTGGGCCTGTTTTCAGGAACCATGCAGGAGGCCGGGCCTGGGGCGCCTGCCAAGCTGGCCCCCCCCAGGAACAGATGCTGGGGCTGGGAGCATGAAAATCAGGGCCTTGGGCCAGGCCCAGCAGCCTCGAGGCCAGCGGGATAGCCCTCGCCTCGCCTCGCCTCGCCTCGCCTGGGGAGGCCGGGACCAGAAGGGGGCCTGGCGGAGTGGCCTGGCCCCCGGAGGGCACGGTGCCCGGAACCGAGTAGGACAGGAACTCTAACCAGAGCAGCAACTGTCCCGAGGCTGAGGCGGGGGCACTGGAGAGCCGGTGGGGCGCTGGGGATTTCCTGGAAGGCATTCCCAGAGACTCACTGCCCTGCGGGGAGGGCACAACCGGCCTTGCTCTAGCAAGGGACCCGAGACCCGGGTCCGGGACAGGTGTGGCCCGTGGAGGTCCCTCGGGTGGTAGGGCTGCCCCGGTCTCCGTCCTGGGCCGTTTCCCGATTTCCAGGGCTCCAGGCCAGCCGAAGTGGGGACCCACCCCCTCCCCCGGCCTGTACACACACGGGGCCTGTGCCAGCTCACGCCACCAGCATCCGCATTGCCCGGGCACCCGGCCTGGTACACGCGCCGGTCGCCATGGCAGCAAGCCGTTTGCCGGCAGGAGCCCGGGCGGGCCTTGCGCATCCAAGGCCAGTGGTCTAGATACGTAAGACCGAGAGTCCTCTTCCCGGCCGCCCCGGGAGGGGCCCGACGGGGTTGGGGAGGGAGGCCCTCCAAAGCCACCCCCCAGCATCCCAGGGAAGGGACGGCTTCCTGAGATCTCCGGGGTCGATGCCAGGGGCCGGGGGCTTCAAGGCCCTCTCTGCTCCTGGCCACACCCGACCTCACTAAGTGGGGCCGGCGGCGGCGGCAGGGGATCTGTCCCAAGCTTGTCTGCTGGGAGCTCAGAGCTGAGGCAGCCCCTGCTTTGCAGGCCCGGCTTCCGCAGCAGGGTCCGCCCAGCTCTGTCCGTCTACAGCTGGCCGCTCCCTGAAGGGGGCGCGGGGTGCCGCTCACACGACCAGCCCTTAAGCACCCATGAGGGAAAGGCACCTGTCCTCGAGTGACACAGGGCTGCAGCTGGTGCATCAGTCGGGCTGACATCATCCTGGGGCCTCGTCCGGAGGTCGCAGATGAAAGCCCAGGTCAATGGACACACACGGGGGGCACACGCCCCCACCCCCCAGGAGGGCAGTTTCAGAGGTGAGCGGGGTCAGGGGGCTTTGGAGGCCCCTGAGGACATCCTGGACAGGCCCCAGACCTTGTGTGCCCCCAGACGGTGGCTGTGTGGACACCCCCTGGCGGGGGGGGGGGGGGCGTGGCCACAGGGTGGCACGTGTTTCCGTGAGGAGTGCTCCCTGTGGCCCGAGGACACCTCCAGCCCACCGCAGGCGCTCACAGGGAGTCTCAAACCGACTCCCTTGTGCTACACGCAGCCTGATCACCCTCCGGGCGGCCATGAGTGGGCCCTGAGGCTGGGGTCCAGGGAAGCATCTCCGGGGCCGGGGCTGGCCCAGCAGCTGCCCGAGGCTCACTCTGCCCCACCCCGTCCGTCCGTCCGTCCGTCCGCGGGCACCTGCACACACAACGTCCACACTGGTGCGCGTGCTGCAGGGTCTCAGCGCATCACACAAGGTCCAGACCTTCCCAAACATTCACAGTACCTACTGTGTGCCAGAGCCTCACAGGGGACCCGGAAAGGAACCGTGACCCCCGGCAGGCATCTGGGCCCTGGGGCCAGAGGGGGGTGGAGGGTAGATCCATGCAAACTACCTGCCTCCAAGGAAGCCCGGGCTCCGAGGCCCACCTCTCAAGAGTCCCTTTGGGGCCTGAAAGGTCACCCCCTGGCTTAAACTCTGGGTCAGTGCCAGGCAGCCCCACTCCATGCCCACCTCGGGCTGTAGGGCCCCAGAACTGAGAGGCCACAGCCACTTCTGGCCCCGCCACCAAGAGGCCTCCCGGAGCCAGGCCCACTTAGCGCCTGGCAGCTGGCCGCCCTCCCGCTGGGCACGTGACGCCCGTGAGCACACTGCCAGCACCCGTCAGCACTAATGAGGCCTTGGTGCTAATCAGGCATCCCGCGCTCCGTCAGAGCTGGGAGTTGGGGGGACCTTGGGCACGCCCTGCAGGGCCCCCCCCCCCCCACAGATGAACTGAGCAGTGCTGCTGGGCACGTGTCCCATGGGTGTTCCCAAAGCCCTGGGAGGTGGCACAAAGTGAGATCCAGCGAGGAACAGGTGTGGACAGCATCATGGCTTGTACCCCCAGACCACGGACATTTCCCTGGCATCGCGGCTAGGCCCGGGCCCCCGGGGCTTGGGAAGATTTCATGTGGGCACTATCTCTGGGGGGAGGATACGTCTCCCTGCCAGTGGGTACCTGGCACACAGCCCAGCCAGGCACACAGTTGGTGCCCCCTCAATGCGTGTGGGTCGCAGAGATGGACAATGCCAGCCCCCAGGGAGGGCCAAGACCAGCCTCGCTTGACCAACCCACGGCGTGCACCGAGCTATTGTGAGGTTTTGTGTCCAGGTCTGTCTCCCGGAATCCCACTCTGGCCCCCGCGAAGGGACATGTAACCCTGTCTGTCTCCCCAGTGTCTGCATGTGCCTCCAAGGGTGCTGCCCAGGGCTTGGAGAACGGAGGAAGCACTCTTGGGTCTTGTCCGCCCTCCCCGCTCCCTGGGGCCCACACACGCCCAGCCCCAGGCCCTTTCCCCCAGTGGGGGGCCCGTCATGGCCTCCAGAGGGTCGAAGGGGTGCTGCCGGAGCATCCGGGACCCACGAGGCCGAGGCAAGGCTCCGGAGGCTTGGCTGGAAATGCCCGTGGCCCCGGGCCCGTTCCCCAGGGAGGCCCGAGTGGCACACACTACAATGAGGAAGAGGGCGCCACGGCTGGCCCGGGCCCAGGCCGGGCAGCTCTGCTTTCACCGCTTGGCTCCCAGCCCCGGAGGCAGGTGCAGGAGACAGACAGGCAGGGTGCGGCTGAGCTGACCCCTGCACATCCCCAAAGATGGCCCCCGTGGGCTCAGGGGGAGGGAGTCTAGCCAGGTGGTCCCAGCGGCTGGGGCCGGGAGGGGCTGGAGTCAGGGGTGGCCGGCTTCCGGCCTCCCCCAGCCCGCTCTTCACATCTGACTGCTGAGAGGGCTTCGGCCCCCACAACCCCCTAGACCAGACCCTGTAAAGACCTCACAGACCAGTCGCCCCAGCAACACAAAGGACAGTTTAGGAGTCCCCAGGGCCACGCAGCAAGGCTGGCTTCAGCTCCGCTCACCCGGGGAAGGGGGAGAGTGGGCTCCTTGTGGTGCCTACAGCACGGGGGTGGGCTCCAGGCCTGGTCCTCCGGCCCTGGGTCCACACGGCCTTTGGGACGCCATCTGCTCCACGCTCACGGTCCCATGTCACCTTCCCTCGGTGTGGTCCTTGAGGCGGGCATCGCTCTCTCCATCACACTACTGCCATCTTGGCAAACCGGGGGCCTCTCCTGGGCCCCGCACCACCAGGCCGCCCGGCCGGCCTCTCCACACTGCCTGCACCCCGGCTTGGGCCTGGATGGGGGTGCCTGGGCGCACCTGGCCACTCGATGGCACTGACGCCCCCGCCTGCCACTCGCCCAGCCTGGGCCACCCTGGGAGAGGTACCGGGCGCGGGGCTGCAGGCTGCCTGAGTCGGGGGGCCGTGCTGGGCCCCTGGCACCAGGAATCAGAGAAGGGTAACTAGATCCCGCCGAGGATCTGGCGGCGGCTGCGGGCGGAGGGCTGCGATCGGGTTGCGGCCCCGCTGCGACTTTCCATCAGGCGGCTTTCTCTGCATCGGGAAGGAGCCGGGCTGGGCTGGAGAGTCTGTGCAGTGGGTCTGGGGGCCCTGAGGTGGGAGACACGTGGGAGAGAGGCCAAGAGGCGCGGGGGGGGGGGGGGCGGGCGGCGGGGCACAGGGCCCGAGGCATGGGCCTGGGCCGGGGCCAGAAGACAACAGGGAGGTGGGCAGCCCAGGGGCGGGCGGAGCTCTCCAGCCGTGCAGGCCCTGGGGCTCCGGCCGCTCACTGGTGAAGTCCAGGAGTGGCTGAAATCCAAGCTGGGGTAACAAAAGGCAGCCGCTGTCCCTAAGCCGGCACAGCTCTGATCCGCCCTCCCACCCGCCCTCCGCTGCCCGCGGGCCATGTAAGAACGGCCCCGGGGGCCCCGCAGCCGCTGGTCAGAGGGCAGCGGGTCCATGCATGACACCGGCCAGGCCTCCGGGGGACCTCGGGGGCCGTGAGCACGCAGAGAGAGCTTCCCGGGCCCCTCGGGGGCGGGGGGGGGGGGCGCCGAGGGCCAGCCCCGAAGATGCCCACCAACGGCCTGCACCAGGTGCTGAAGATCCAGTTTGGCCTGGTCAACGACACCGACCGCTACCTGACAGCCGAGAGCTTCGGCTTCAAGGTCAACGCCTCGGCACCCAGCCTCAAGCGGAAGCAGATGTGGGTGCTGGAGCCGGACCCGGGGCAGGGCCCGGCCGTGCTGTTCCGCAGCAGCCACCTGGGCCGCTACCTGTCAGCCGAGGAGGACGGGCGCGTGGCCTGCGAGGCGGAGCGGCCGGGTCGTGACTGCCGCTTCCTGGTCCTGCCGCAGCCCGACGGGCGCTGGGTGCTGCGGTCGGAGCCCCACGGCCGCTTCTTCGGTGGCACCGAGGACCGGCTGTCCTGCTTCGCCACGGCCATCTCCCCGGCCGAGCTGTGGACCGTACACCTGGCCATCCACCCGCAGGCCCACCTGCTGAGCGTCAGCCGCAGGCGCTACGCGCACCTGTGCCCGCAGGAGGACGAGATGGTGGCGGATAGCGACACGCCGTGGGGCGTGGGCGCGCTCATCACCCTCATCTTCCAGAACCGGCAGTACTGCCTCAGGTCCTGTGACAGCCGCTACCTGCGCAGCGACGGCCGCCTCGTGTGGGAGCCCGAGCCCCGAGCCCGCTACACGCTGGAGTTCAAGGCCGGCAAGCTGGCCTTCAAGGACTGTGATGGCCGCTACCTGGCACCCGTGGGCCCCACTGCCACGCTCAGGGCGGGTCGCAACACGAGGCCCGGCAAGGACGAGCTCTTCGACCTGGAGGAGAGTCACCCGCAGGTGGTGCTGGTGGCCGCCAACCACCGCTACGTGTCCGTGCGGCAAGGTAACGTGGGTGCGACCGGGCCGGCCGCTCTGACCTCAGCGTGGGGGCTCGCTTGGGGCAGTGGCATCGTGTCCGCGCGGGTGGCGACGCATGGTGGCAGTGCACGGGGCAGGGGTGCACCTTGGGCCGTGTGTCGGGGTCCCGGCGGAGGGCTGCGGCTGCAGGGCCAGAAGGAGGGGGTCCCTCTCGGGACCACTGAGCCCTGGGCGTGCTGGGCAGCGGCTCGAGTGGGGGACGGGCAGTGCCCAGCAGGAGGTGGGCAAGGCCCAGGCCGGCTGCTGCGAGGGGCAGGGGCCTGCCCCCGCTGTCCCCACCCACCCCTTCTCTTCCACCGCTCCATTTTCTGAACTTTACAGGAAATTGGGGAGGGGGCTGAGGAAAGGGCCAGGAGCCAGCAGGAGTGCGGTGGGCAGGGCTCCGGTCCCCACACCACCGGTGCCTGACCAGTGGGGATCCTCCACCAACCCAGGGGTGGAATGAGGAGGGACCTCGGGGTCTCTCCAGTCTGGTGCCCGGTGCCCGCCCCCCCCCCCACCCCCCGCCGAGGCCTGGGCTTCTTGGTGGAAGCCATGGTCTCTGCCCGGTGGGTGCAGCCTGGTTCTCTGCATCCTGGATCATCGGTCACCTGCCTCGTGTGCCCAAGGGGCCTTTCCACGTGTGATCACACACCTACGGGGTGAACACGGGCAATTGCTGCTTCCTTGAGAAGAAGCTGAGGTTCCGGAGTGGCCCCTCGCTAGGCCCAGGCCGGCAGTCATGGCTGGCCCTACTTGGGCTCCTGGGTGTGTGCACCCTGACCTGGCCCCTGGTCCCGCTGGCAGAGGCCCAGCCACTAGCCCCCTGGTGGGGGGTGGGGGGGACAGCCCTGTTGTGGCTGTGGGGGCCCTGCCTGGAGTCAGGGTTCCCAAGGCCAGTCCTGTGTGGGGACGGTCATCCAGCAAACCCCTCCTGCACGCCTGTCTGGACCGTGGCCAGGTCGCGGGGCACAACGGAGGACAGTCAGCCCTTGTCCTTCCCAGCACAGGCCCTACAGTCCAGCCGCACGGCTCTCTGGCCCGCACGAAGGCCCCTGTGGTTGGTTCGTCAGTAAAACGCAGCCAGTGGTGTGAAGGGCTTCCTCCGCGAGGGTCAGAGGAGGTGTTGGACACAAAGGCGGCTGTGCGTGTTCAGCTGGCGAGCAGGGCCGCGGTGGCACTGGAGGTGGTGACAGGGACAGTGCTGGTGGCGGTGGTGCCGTCTGGACTGTTCTCCCGTCTCGGGACCACCGTGCACCTGCCTGTCCCTTTCACGGGGGAATCCCCTACTAAGGGCAAGCTCTGCCTTCCAGGGTAGAAGCCGGACACGCCCCACGTTCACCTGCTCGGTCCTTTGCAATAAGCCTGAGGGCATATGACCTGCCCCCCACCCCCCATGTTCAGATGCTGACCTGGCAATCAGTGGCTTGTGGGGGGGACATGGGGGCTGCCGAGGCAGCCGGAGCTGCAGGTTCTGCCGAGTGCTGGTGGCTTCATCCCAACGCTGTTGCCGGCCGGGCAGCCCCAAACCCGTCTTCCTCCCCATGGGGTGTCTGGGAGCACCCCACTGGCCTGCACGATCTTCTTTAACCTCCATCAACCAGAGCCTGCTTGTTTCTGCTGCTTCCACCGCTGGCCTTCAGTGACACAGTGTGGCTAACAGAAATATGGTCCCGAATGGCCCAAGGACACGAAGTATCTCATATAAGTGCAAGTCTGAGGCCCTGGGGTCGTGGGGTCGCAGGCAGGACACCACTGCCAGTCCAGTGGCGTCATCAAAGCCCTTTGCTCGCTTCTCGTGGGGCTGCTCTCCTGGGACAGCTCTGACATCGGGCTGGTGCCCTCGTGGTCACAAGACGGCTGCTGACAACAGCCGTGTGAGCTGGAGCCCCTCAGCCGCGGTCTGTCTGGAGGGGTGTGTGACCGGAGATGCCCAGGACGCTGGCCTCAGAGGTGGCAGCGGCGTGCGGCCCCGGCCAAAGCCCACAGCGCCCACGGGCACTGGACACTGTCAGCACTGCTGATGGGACGGTGGCGGTGGAGACAGACCCCGCTTTGGAGGGACGGCCTTGGGAGCCGGCCAAGGACCCCAGGTCTCACCCTCTCTAGCACAGGCCCTGCCTGGCGCCTGCCCCACCTTCCTGGGGACAGGCTTGGACAGGATCTGGCCCTGACCCTCAGGCCCCCATTCCCTCCGGCCCCACCAGCCGGACATGCTGGAGGCCAGCCTCGTCCGGAGCTCTATGATGTGTCACATCACTGGAAACAGGGGCGTGGTTCATGGGAACATACCAGGGAGGCTCCGGTGCCTGCCCTCTCCCCCCCACCCCACCCCGGCATGAATGTCCCCTGTGTTCCCCCTTCCAGGAACCCCAGGCAGAGCCTCAAATAGTCTTGCCCTCCCTCAAGGCTCCTGGGAGACCACACATGTGACAGGGGGGCTGGGGAGGTGACAGGGGGCCAGCCTCTGCTCAGTGGACCCCAGGCCCCAGCTGTGTGTCCTGGGCGATGGCTTGAGGAAGAAAGGGACCCCACTGTGCCCACCCAGTGGCTTAGAGTGAGTTATAAATAGAGGCTGGTGTAAGGCTTGGGTCGAGAGGGCAGAGGCAAGCTGATTACCTGACGATTAGCAGAGGCAGGGGATTTGCCGGCACGGAAGGGCCCGGCTCCTGGGGCTGTGGCAGGAGCTGGGCCAAGGACCTTCAGGGAACCAGACGTGGAGATCTGCAGTGAGCCCACATGACCATGGGGGCCCCCGCCCTCCGAGAAGTGCCTTCCAAGTCTTAATTCCAAAGGGTTCTGGATGAGAGCCCCTCTGTCTCCAGCGTTGCCCCCAAGCATGCTTTTCCCCACCTTTCTGCTCACCCCCCCCCCCCCCCGACCCAGGGAGAGGCGTGAGGGGCTTCCCATATCCTCCCTCCAGGGGTCAACGTCTCAGCCAACCAAGACGAGGAACTGCATCATGAGACCTTCCTGATGCAAATTGACCAGGAGACAAAGAAGTGTACCTTCTATTCCAGCACGGGGGGCTACTGGACCCTGGTCACCCATGGGGGCATCCAGGCCACGGCCACACAAGTGTGAGTGTGTCCCCATCTCCGCAGCACCTTCACTTCCACATCTGCCACCATCACCACCTCCACCACCACCTCCGTCACCACCGTCACCTCCATCACAACTGTCACCATCACCACCATCACCTCCACCGTCACCTCCATCACCACCACTATTGTCACCACCACCACCACTGTCACCACCATCACCTCCACCACCTCCGTCACCACCACAACTGTCACCATCACCACCATCACCTCCACCGCCACCTCTGTCACAACTGTCACCATCACCATCACCTCCACCTCCGTCACCACCATCACCAGCACCATTACATCACCCCCATCTCCAGATCCATCACCACCGCTGTCACCTCATCTGCACCAGGAGGACCACTGGAACGAATGCCCACTGGGGTGAGGGGCAGCTCCTAGTGGTGGTGGGTGTGCCAGAAGGCAAGTGTCTCCCCCTGGGGGGGTTGGTCCTGGACCTGAGGGGGACGGGGAAGCCTGACCCTGAGCTCCCAATGTCTTGCTGCTCCGAGGGGACCATGCCCTGCCTTTTCCAGTTCGGCCAGCACCATGTTTGAGGTGGAGTGGCGCGGCCGGCGGGTGGCACTCAAGGCTAGCAATGGGCGCTACGTGTGCATGAAGAAGAATGGGCAGCTGGCGGCCACCAGCGATTTTGTGGGTGAGCACTCCTCACCTGTCCTGCGGAAAGAGGGCTGGGCTCTCTGCGCAGAGACCCCGGTCCCCACTAAGAACCCGTTCCAGCCCCCTGCATCACTGCTGCCACAGTGCTTGGTAACCAGTCATCCTTGCTGGTCCAGAAAAGCGCTCGGGACACCAGGGAGCAGTCGGAGCCCAGAGCGCCCTCATCTCCACTGTACATTTACATTTGGGGGGACCTGGGGCTCAGTGGCCGCGGGCCCCTTGCCAAGGTCACCGATGGCCGTGGCCCACGGGGCCCACAAGAGGCGCCAAGAGTCCGGGCCCTTTACGTGCCCCGCCCACCTCACCCAACCCGGGAAGGCGGCAGGCGCGGGGTCACCCCTCAGCCCCCCACCCCGCCCCCCAGGTGAGGACGAGGAGTTCATTCTCAAGCTCATCAACCGCCCCATCCTCGTGCTGCGGGGCCTGGACGGCTTCGTCTGCCACCGTCGTGGCTCCAACCAGCTGGACACCAACCGCTCGGTCTACGACGTCTTCCGCCTGAGCTTCAGCGACGGCGCCTACCACATCCGAGGTGCGGATCCGGACGGGAGTCGGGGGCGGGGGGGCGCGGGCCGGGGACGCGGCGATCGGGAAGGGCCCGGGAGGACCCCCGCCGACCGCGTCCCCCGCCCCCAGGCCGCGGCGGCGGCTTCTGGTACACCGGCAGCCACGGCAGCGTGTGCAGCGACGGCGAGCGCGCCGAGGACTTCCTCTTCGAGTTCCGCGAGCGCGGCCGCCTGGCCATCCGCGCCCGGAGCGGCAAGTACCTGCGCGGCGGCGCCTCGGGGCTGCTGCGCGCGGACGCGGACGCTCCCGCCGGGGTCGCGCTCTGGGAATACTGAGCGGGCGGCCGGCCTGTCCCCCATTAAACCGTGTCTGTGTCGCAGCGGCCGGCGGGCTCCCTGGCGCCACCGGGCGGGGAGGGGTGTACGCGGAGGGTCTGCACCTCGGCCCCAGGGGTCGTTGGGCCTCCCCATCCCTCAGCGCCGGAGACCCAGGGCTGGGGAGCTGGGCCGGGAGGAGGGTCCAGCTGGCGGCACACCACCCCTCCCGTCCAGGGACAGCCCGGACCTTCTCTGGCTCCACCTTGGTTTCCCCCCAACCCCCACCAGCTGCTGTCACGTGTTGGCCACACAGCTGCTCCCCAACACCCAGGGAGAAGAGCCCCCATTCCACCCGGCGGGACGGGGTGGGGGTGGGCTGCCTGGTCCGAGACCCCGCGTGTTGCAGCTTGCAGGGGCTTCGGGGTGAGGTGTCTGCTCACGCTTTTCTCCCCAGGGGCAGGGTTTTAGAAAGCCCTGGAAGCAAAAGCGACCCCACCCATCCCAAGCAGGGCTGTGTCTGGCTAACCCTGTGGAGAGAGCCCCTCTCAGCCCCTGCACCCACTTGTTGCTACCAGGCCAGGAAGGGGGCTCCAGGCCTCCTATTCCCAGGGCGCCCCCCCCACTCACAGACCCTGAGCCTGGGCACCCGCAGGCTGGGCTCCCTGTGGCCAGGCTGGATACCAGGACAAAGTCTGTGGTTCACCAGCCAGCACCCAGAGCCCCCAGCCCTCCAGGACCCCCACCCAGGCCAATTCCCCTTGGATGGGCTGGGTGACCTAGGCCATGAGGTGAGAGCCTAGGGAGAGAAGTAGAACCAGGGGGCTGGGGGAAGGGGTAGTACACGGCCAGGTGGCCTAGAGCCTGAAGGGAGGGGAGACAGCAGACGCCCTGCCCCGGGGCCTACATCCCTCTCCAGACCCTGGGCAGCCCCTGCCCCTGCCCCTGCCCCTGCCCCTGCCCCTGCCCCTGCCCCTGCCTGGGGGCCCAAAGCCCCGCGCTCTCCCCCAGTGAGTCCAGCCAGTGTGGGCCAGTTGGGACTGGGGCACTTTGGGGAGGGGGTTCAGGGCAGGGGGTGCAGGAGTGGATGTGCTGGACCGGAGAGGTGAGGAAGGGAACCCCTTTCCCTCCCCTCCCAGGCCCCTCCTGGGCCTGGCCTGCTCCTGGCCTCACCGCCCCCTCCCCCTGCCTTGAGTACAAGGAAGGGCGGGACCCAAGCGGGTCCTTTGGCCAAGGTGGCTGAGTTAAACCTTTTAAGACCACACACCAGAGCCTAGGGGAGGCAGAGGCAAGAAGCCACGGCCTGCGCTGCCCCCTGGTGGCATCCAGGGCAGGAGAATTGGGGGGCTCATCTGCTAAGGGCTCACCCCGTGCAAGAAGGCAACAGGCCTGCGTTCACAGGAAAAGATACCCTCGGGGGTCCTCCGGCTCCCCTTTATTGACCTTCGCCAGTGACTACACTTGGCCCCAGGCACCTGCTGAATGGAGCCCACACAGCGGCTGCAGGGGGGCGGGCAGGGAAAGCGCCTGGGTCACCGGGAGGGGCCAGCTGGGGTCGCCATAAGGGTGCCTCGGCACCCCCAGTCCGAGAAACAGGCTGGAGCGGGTGGAGGACAGTCTCTGGTGGCTCGGAGCCGCGCGCGGGGGACGGAGAACCACAAGCAACAGAGACGGCTGAGGGACACCTGGTGCTCAGCGTGGCGTTCCATCCTGGACAGGGCACCGAGAGGGCACCCGAGAACACTAGACTCCCCAAGCACCCGGCTGGGCTGAGGTCGGTCCCCTGGCCTGTGTCCCATTTGCCATCAGCCCCCTGCAGGTCTCCGCCAATCCACGAAGGTTCTACACAGTCCCCTTCTCTCCGCCACGCGTAGCTTTTCTCCTTTTCCTTTTCTCCTTTTCCGGAGACTGCGTGGTCTGCCCGCCCCCGCCCCCCCCCCCCCCCACCGGGGGCCTCCCGCCAGCAGAAGCGCTTTCCCGCCACTGCTGCTTCTCCATCCCTGGAAGGCCCAGTGCTCAGGCCTCCTGAGGGCGACCCTTGTGAAGGGCCCAGCGGGACGGAGTGGGGGTGGGGAGCTGCACGCTGGGGACCAGGGACAGCCAAGCAAACGCCAGGTACTGGGGTGGCGGTCCCAGCACTGCTCTTTCCACACACTTGCGTGCCCACCGCCTCCGTCAGTCACTCCTCCCTCCTGCCCTGGAGCAGCCTCCAGTGTGGGGTCCGTGCGACGATCACCCATTCTCCCGGGCTCTGACTGGAGCACCCCACCGGCCCCTCTCCCTCCCCAGAGATGTCCTCGGTTCTCCCGGGGAGGGACTCGCGTGTCCTGAAGGCCGGGTGGCCACTTCACCCCGGTGCTGGGGACTCCCTACTCGCCCCAGGACCACGGAGAGGCCAATGTGGGGTTCACCCAAGCATACCTGGGGGAGGCCCAGAAATCCCGGTCAAAGCTGCCACCCAACTGAGGAAGAGGGCAAGCAGAAATAAAACGCAGCTGAAGCCAAGGCAGCTTGACAAACAGTGGACGTGTCTTGCAGCAGGGGGTGCCTCAAAGACCCCATGCGCACAGAAGAGCACCCCGTCACAGTCCAAAGGAGGGTCACCCTCCCCAAATGCTAAGTGTGCCAGCACCAGAATGGGTATCCAGCTGGGCCGTTGCCCAGGCTGAGGGAGGCAGCTGGGGGGCTGCAGCCCACCCCGAGGGGCCCTGCAAACAGTGCATAGTGCCCGGTGCTGAGTGCGGCCTCGGATGGGAGAATCTCCCGGGGGAGTGCTCCGGCCTTGTGGGAGCGTCCTCCCAGCCGGTGAGCTCAGCGGCTGCAGAGAAGCAGGGCTGATGGGCCCACAGGTGGATGAAAGGGTCTGGGGTTGGGTGGGTGGGCAGTCCACCCCACGTCACACCCAGAAACTTTCTCTGGGGCCTGGGCAGGCCACGTGGCAATGCCACCGTTCTGGAGTCCAGACCCCGTTTCCGGGCGGAGGGGACTTCGCTGATCTAGCTTCCAGTGCTCCAGGGCAGAGACCGCCCAGCAGGACCACGTGCAGCGGGGGCGAAAGGAAGCTGTCGAAGGGAAAGGTGGGACCTGGGGGTCTCGGGCTGTCTGGGGCCAGGCAGGTGGGGAACAGGAACAGGGCCCCACAGGACAGACCCCAGAGACCTGGCACTTCACACCCCACCTCCTCCGAGCACC